AAAGGGGAAAAAATGCAAACATTATTTTTCAAAACATTGGTTTGAACAAGGAACGCCTAGGATAATAATAGACATAAATAACCATTAGATCGCGACAAATATGCTTAAATAAATAAAATATAAATTTATTTAACATAACACATAATATCAGAACTTTAAAAAGCTATAATATCGAGAATAAGGCGAATATAGTGTTTCTGTCTAAATTTTAAATCTCTACGAATATTTTTAACCGAATCACAACAAATAACAAAATTTAAAAATAATATAAGCATTGTTTTCGTACATTTCCTGTTTTTCTTACGTTTTATCATGATTTTTCTCATATATTATGAAAACTGCTCAGAAAATCAAAATATGACCTCCCAAAAGTACCAACTGGACAATATTCCCTTTCAGAAATAGTGTCGCGCGTACATATCTGTGCAAGTTTTCTAGTAGAATTTTCGTACACAGTATAAAAAAAAAAAAAAAAATCTTAGTAAAACCAATGCATTTTCGCTACACTCAGAACCTTAAATTAAGTCATACAATAATATTGCATACACACATACATAAGAAATTACCGTGCTGTTTGCGATTCCTTATAGCGTAACGTGTTATTTTGTTGAAAATTAACTGGTTAACTGTTTTCACGTATATGATATGAATGTATGATACATTCAAATTTTTAGAATAATTCTAATAGTTCAGGATAATTATAATAAATTTACATTCCTTCCAGTAAACAAAGATTAGGAGTAATGTTATCATTTAAATGTAGCTTTTAATGCTGAAACAATTCCATAATGGTCGGGGGGAAAAACAAAACGGAAATCGAGTTTACTTAAGAACCCTACGAAGAAATCGCAGGACTTCGATAAATGAATCACTCTGTATATATACGTCTTGGCTAATTGGATGGCAGTATCAAGATTCGCGAATCTACGACATAAAATCATGTTTGATATTATATTGCAAACGCGTTAAAATTCAATTTGGAAAATTTAAATCGTGAATATTTTATACTTCAATAATAAAAAAATCGACTTATTGAATTCGTATTTCTAGTAATATTTTTTATTTATTATTTTTTTTTTTTTATGACAAAATCATATCTATAGTTGTATAGAACGCTTTTTTTTAAAGTTAATTTTGCGACAGATTTACCAATACGTTCGTATTCGTAAGTAGGTATACCAGAATAGAAATTCAAAAAAATCATAAATTTAATAAAATTACTAATGATAGCATTATGAACACTTTATTGTAACGAAACAAATCGTGCCGAAGACAAGTTGTTCGAGTAGAAAAGAGCGAAAAATGAGAATTGTATTCTGTAGATAATATCGTTATCTACAAGGGTCGGACAAACGCAGAGGGGGATGAGGAGAAAATATTCACACCATGATATCTTTCCATTTCGATGTGATTTCTATATATTTATAAAAAAAAATCTTGTAAATATTAATAATTGTTAAAAAATAAGCCTTATCCCTTCTACCCTCCCCCCCCTCGTTACATAGTCAATTTACCGCAATTGTTATCCGCTGTACGTATTCGTCGCGAGTAAGTCTCAAATAGTACCGACATTTTTTATCTATGCTGCTATAATTGTTTACGTTTGTCACAAAATTGTTGACCTGTATTGTTGTGTTTGTACCAATCTGTGTACAACAAAAACACGCGCATCACTCGGTACGATAATACAAACAATATTTTAATGTATGGGCATACGTACATTTAGCGTGTTAATATTTTTATCATCATATTATCTCCAGAAAAATACGAAAGCGTATCTTTTTTTTTATATATATTTTACATGATACTGTAATTAAATAGACAGTGTATATTATATCGCATAACTATTTTGTATTCTTTCAAAAATATAACAATAATTTAGTTCGTACTGTATAGTCTTATCGTAATCCGATATTTCGTGTAACTGCACCGTATACGTTAATAATAACAAACTTTGCGTATTTTAAAAATATACGATTAGACCGCCGAGGTCTTAGAATAGGTACGTATATGTACCAAGTAACCTATTCGTCATAATAATTCGACCTGTGATAATTGTTAATATTGATAATGTCGAACATTGGTTCAACCGTAGCCACCCTGCGCTAGGCCCCCGATTCGGCAATGACGGATTGAGGGGTGAGAGTGATATGGTGTATTTGGTGGGAGGGGAGGGGGTCCAACGTTATACGTTCGAACGTAAAAAAAATACCGGTCTATACCTACTGTAAATATTAGCCAAAATTAATATTCGTTTTCAGTATCTATACGACACCAGTTCGCTACCTCTTTAAATGAGTTTCAGTGTCGCCTCTGTGGCTTGATAAGCCGTAAACTCGGATGGCTGAAATAAAAATATTTATCAGGATCGACGAGTACCGCATTGTTAAAATAAGAAAAATAATAAAGAATGAAGACAGTTATTATTATGTCACGCTGAACCCACCGCCAGATTAGCGAACAAATTTAAATTTTAAAATGTCGGTACTACAATATCCCGTTATGTTAAATCTGGTCTCTAACAGCTGGCTACAGTAGCAATAAAGACTCTTTAAGATAAACAACATGGAGTTCTGTGTATGGTAAATTTGTTTCATATTCGATTAATTTAAAACAACTAATTTCATTAGCTTAGTCGATCTTAACTAATAACTTATTAACTGATGGGTAGTAGTATATTAAAATAATGATTTATTTTAAACTGCCGCCAAATGTATCTTAAGTTAAAATTTAGCGGAACATTGTAACAGCTCTAAGAGTGTTCGCTAATCGTTCGATAAGTTCCGTTTTTTCGCCACAGTACCTCAAAGGGGATTAAATTTCTAGCCAGTGGTGATATTCTAAAAGTAAAAAAATCGCGTTTGATATTAGGCGTACTTACACATTTAAAACGTTTGCGTTTACTGTTGTCAAATAAACGGTAAACCAGAATTGTCCGGAAAATAATCAGAAGGACTCTAATAATCCGGAAATTTTGAGTAATCGCACGGACTGTAATATTCCGGAAAAAAATCATTAGCAGCATTTATACGGACTGTAAAATTCCGGAATGTATACATTTACAAACAAAAAAACGGCGGACTGTAATAATCTGGAAAATGAAACGGGTAAAAGTCCGGACCGTAAAAATAAATGCTATGACTAGAATATTCCGGAAAGCATAAATGCCTAAACCAGAAAGTACCGGACTATAATAATTCGGAATACAAAAATACGCACAATGTTCCGGACAAGAACTTTCCGGAATTTAACAAAAAAAAAAAAAAAAAAACACACTGATAGATGGCGGTGTTTCGCGTTCACAATACAAACAGAACAAACGAATTAAGATTAAAGAAGGTTCGCGATTTTTTGAGTGCTTTCAGAGATAGACATGTCCAGATCCGGTGTCACGATTATCATTATTAATAGACTGTGTTTTGGAAATTTCGGATTATTATAGTCCGATACTTTCTGGTTTAGGCGTTTATGTTTTCCGGATTTTTACAGTCCGCCGGTTTCTTGTCTGTGAAATTTGAATTCCGTAATCGTACGTAGTCCGTACGATTATTTTCCGGGATTTTCTAGCCGTCCAAATAAACATTCTACAGGCGCGTTAATTTTTTACCGAAATTTACAATCAACACGATTTACAAATGCCGTATTAATTATATACATCGTATCCGATACACGAACGGCGAAAACGTTCCGTTTCAATCGGTTTACCAGTGGATATACCTACTCATGCCTACCCACAATGGTCGATATTATAACTATCGCCGTGACAGTGATTTCCTTCGGGTTATTCGAACGCCAGGAATGTCACTAATGCATCACTCGTTATTTCTATATTAATAAAATAATAATAATAATAAGTGTACGTAGAACAGTTTTAATGAAATTCCTCATGGCAAAGCAAACTATTTGGTAAACGACGATTGCGCCGTGCTATATTATTCTGAATAGTTCTGATCGCGTACGGAACGACCGCGGCCCAACGAATCCAAATCTTATCAATATTACAAAAATAATTATAATTACGAAAAAAACCGCGATGTTCAAGGGCACGCCGTTTCGAAGTGTGTATAGGTTTCGGTAAAAAAGGTCCATTAATGTTTTACGATTTTTAAAATTTTCGATTCTGCGCGTAGCTACGTGCGAATTGCCTGCCATCCCTAAATTAGGTACTCATTAATATATCGTTTTCATATTGAAATGTTTTTCGTTGTGATTCAGTTCAAGGTAACCGTTTGAGAATTGGAATTTTCCCAGAATAACTACATTGGCATTTTCCGAATTCGGTACAGTTTTCAAAACATTCGGTCGATTTTTGAGCTATGCGGAGTTAAACAATTTTTCGGTGAGCAAAACCGTTTGAAAATTCTACATTTTCTACGAGGTTCATTCTATGTTGTAAATATTCGGTGAAAAACAAATTTTACCGTAATTTAGTCGTTTTTTTTTTCTTTTTTTAAGGTTTACTATTTAATTAATTTGAAATTTTTATATGAATCACGACATTTCAAAACGCGTTTAACCGAACTGCGTTTAGAACCGTATACCTTGTTAGCATTAATATGGTCTGTCGTAAAACAACAATACGCCCGTCAACAGTACCGGCTTTTTTGTTTTTTTATTGAACCAAAATCAGTTTACCTCTATTTTCGCAGTGTTATTATAATCTACGTGACGTGCATATCTTAAATCGTCTTTTTCACAGCGTCACACCCGTCGGCATTGTCGACTATTTATTTAATTATTTTTTTTTTTTTTAATCCCCGGAATATCGACTATCGGGACGTTGATATTATTATATACGAGATTTACGTTGTTGCGCCGGGTTAGGTTCCCAACGCGGGTACTTGCGATGATAGCGCGCGTATAAAATACAAAAGAACGCCTGTGCACTGTTCGGCGGACACGCGCGCGCACGAAACATCGCGGAGGCAATTATTATGTTATTTAGCGGGGGCACGCGATGAGATAGAAGGAGAAATGTGACAAAATGTTTTCTGCCATACCTAAAATAAATCGTCTATACCACTTTTACTCGCGCGCCTATAATAAGAGTACTCACGATTTATTCCGTTGCATATAGTCCGGTATCATTACACCGTTCGCGGCCTCCAAGCAAACAACTGTAATATAATATCTGCTCGTAAGTACACAATATAACCATTTTCATATAATAATATTTTAACCAACTATCTTCTGTTTTTTTTTTTTTTTTATTATTTTTATTTTTTATATGCACAATATATTTTTCCGAGTTTACCGTGTTGCCGGTGATACTATTTCGTTGCCCGGTCTCGGGGACGGAGTACGTACCCATCTACTATCCCGACAGGTATATTTTTTGAGAAATACTCGTCATGTTTCGTGTTCATAATGCATAATTCATATATAAAATACACGTAGTCCGGGGTTTGCAGTTTCAGCCCCGGGAAATACGAATCACACCGGCGGACCACAAATCAAAGGCGCGATAATATGTTAAAATTTCAACGAAATATCCTACACACTTCTGTATAGAATTATTATCGACAGAGATATTCAAAGCAGCGTTCAAACATTTAAATATTACGAAAATTCCGGTAGTGTCGAATTTTAAAACCGGGAGTTTTAAGCACTTTCTCGACCCCTCGCCCGCCGCAATTGTGACCGTGCCAATATTTAAAATTATTAATAATTATCGATCACATAATACATCGACATGATGTTGTTTCGCCCAGAAATCTGATGTTAAATATATATATATATATAAATATTAGTTCGTTATACTGCCCCCCCCACCGGCAGTGGGGCCCCTTTTTGGATTCCAAAACCACCCCCATTTGATTGTATTTTTGTGTTGTTTTTCAGAATTTATTTGGCTATCCTACGACCGTTATAACCATAGTACTCAAAAATGTTTCTACAGTTCAAAGGTTTAAAAAAAAAAAAAAAATGATAATATTTTTATGATTTCGTGTCAACGTTTAGTACGCCATTTGTTTGTTATTATTCAGAATTCGTTTAGACGTTCGTACTATAGGTCTATGTTGTTATTATCTTTGGTTTCTGAGAGTATTTTCTCATACAGCCGTGAATGCATTATGCGACTTCTAGCTATTTAATTTTAAGTATAGACATTTTAAAACATTTTCGAAAAGTTTGATCGAAAACCAAATCTTTCGTCCATCGACCTGATTATTATTGATGCTGTAATAAAATTCCAAATAGTGAATTATTTGCACCGACAAAGGCCGAAAAGGTAAATAATTTGAAATATTTTACGTATTAACTTACAGTTGGAAATTTTACTTTTTGCAATGATTTCATAGACAAATTACACTCACCTATACGTTATATTTTTTATGCCCGAAATATTAAATAATTAACATTGAACATGACTGAATAATTATAAAAATGTTAATATTTATTTTTTTAACAGAATTTCTAATTTAATGTTAATAAAAAATTAATATTTATAAACAAAAAAAAACGTCTTAAGATAATGAAGACGGGTGCAGCGACTATAATAGGTAATTTAATGTACATCTGTAAGTAACGATAAATTATTGCTAACGAAAAAACGATTCTGAGTGTAGTGTAGTTAATAGTGATGTTTTGTCAACAATATATATATATGTCATATTATGGTAAAATAATTAAATAGGCATTATACATTTTCTTTAATAATATTTGTTTAATATTTTACCGATTTTCCCCATTTATTGGAAAAACTCCCAGAAAAATCGAAAAATTGTCTCCTTTAAGTACCTTCCCAGTCAGATTTCTGTTCAGAAAAAGTACTATCATATTAAATTGGAGCGAAATGGCTGATAGAAAATTTGTACACAGAAAAAAAGGCCATAACATTTTTTTACTAAGACCTACGTTTCATACATTTTCCGTTTTTTCGTCATTTTATACGGGCTTTTCCTAGATATTATGAAAATCGCTTGAAAAATCAAAAAACGATTTCTTAGCACCTTTCCTGAAATAAAATAGGTGTTGGGAGATACTTTAAGAAGATCATTTTTTGATTTTCTCAAGAGTTTTTCCAGCAAACGTGAAAAACCGGGAAAAACGTAGGAAAATTTAGAAAACCGGTACAACATTAAACAAATATTTTTAAAGAAATTATCGAAAGCTTATTTAATTTTTTTTTTTTTTTTTACTCTAAAATGTCAAATATATTGTTGAAAAAGCACTATCAACTGAACTACACTCAGAATCGTTTTTTTCGTAAGCAACGGTTTATCGTTGCTTTCGCGTATACATTTAATTCTCTATAACATTGGTTGTGCTCGTCCCCATTATCCTATGATCTTTTTCGTGTATGATACGCACATAATGATATTATGTATAAAGCAGCCAGCTCGGAGACCGGCCTGTCGGGAAAATTCCCGATTTCCCGATAGGCCAATCCGCCCCTGAATTCTAGTACCCAGTGTTATTGCTACTATTTTCGTATTTTAAATAGCTCCCTCGCGACGGTTTGCCGAAAGACCGGGTAATATTACGATTTATATACACATTGAAACGCGAATTACCGTTCGTAAAATAATATAGACACTCGAGATATGCCTCGTATTACAATAATACTGTATGTGTATTATTGTAATAATAATACACGCGATCGTTACACGAATTAATATTACGCGCATTTCCATAGCGTCTGTCTGTCAAACGCGGCGGGAAAAAAGAAAAGCAAAAAAAAAATTAATAAAAGAAAAAAAAAAAACCAACAAATGCGGTTTACCTCCGACATATTTCCATACGAGTAAATATTATTATTGTTATTATTATGTGGAAATAGATAATTTGTACGCGTCAACCGTTTCTTTCCCACCGAAGCGGATATCTAACATTACCATTGTGCGCGCGTGTGTACGAGACGCCGAAATTTCCGACCCTGAAATCTCCCTCCGCGAAGAGTTTTGATACTTTTCCCGAACGCGCAAAACGCGAATACTGCTTGGATAAAATCGTTTGGCCGAACGGAAACGCTTGACGATTTAACACTTAAAAAATAAAAAGTCGAGCGCAATAGAGTTTTTTTTTTTTTTTTTTTAAGATCAAATTTCGATTAAAATCGTAAATGTCACAGCGTTTCAAAACATGTACAACCGAACTTCGCTTAAAATCATTTTTCGTCAGCAACCGTTTATCGTTGCTTACGGATACAAGTTAAATGACTGTGTATCCTATTTTCCGACAACTTCCCGCTGACACACACATCAGCAGTATAGGTTTTTTTATTTTTTTTTTCTCTCTCTCTCTCTCTCGCTTAACTCTCGCGCTCCAAATTAACCGATGTTAAACTGTCTCGATTGTACTATTATCATGACGACCGCGGTAAAGGCACGAGACCACGCCATTATAATACTGTTATTATTTTAATTTCCGTTCGCTAAACGGTTTCAATCCGCTCGCGAATTGCCTGCTGTCACCGTGCGCATTAATTGTACTTCCCATACGTATATGATTTTCCGTCATTATTATTTCCCGACGAGGTTTTCCAACGGGATTTCTCTTCATACGCTAACGCGTAGTGTCAACAGACGATAATATTGCAACGTTCGGCCTTACCGGCCCGTTTTGCACAGATTCTGAGTGTGTATTTATGGAATTTGCAATGTATAAGTTGCCTTTTGAATATCAAACGTAGGTAGTGGTTTCTCCTCCAAAAATAAGGGTGACAAAAAATAACATAAATGTAAAATTGTAGAGCTGCTCGTTTCTTAAATGTTTTATACGACAAATTACGAAAAAAGTTAACTCTTTCCGAGACAATGAATGTATCCATTTAAATGGAACGCCAACACTGTCTTTATACCTAATTCAGTTGTAGAAAATCGTAAAAATGAAGTTTCTCGGAATTTTCGTTTTATTTAAAGCCGTTTGAAATGTTCTCATTTTTTTTTTCGTTCCTATTTGGTCGTCCGTAAAAATTGTTTGCGACATATTCGAAAATTTAACACCAGGTTCATAATAACAATTTGCGTTTAGTGGTAAAAATAAACTCCCATTTCAGGGTCGTTATTTGTGCGACCTAACCGGAAAATAAAAAAAAAATATATTGGTGTGTATTTTTTTCCTTTTTCACCTGAAATCACGGTTCACGAACCGGACATTCATTTTTTTTTTTTTTTTTGTTTTAAGTTCACTATACTGCGTACATTGTAATAATTATTTCAGTATGCTGCCCGTCGAAATTTATTCGGAAAACAATTTTCGTTTCCAAACCGGACACTAGGAAAGTATAAAATCACTATAGGACGGATTTTAATAGGGATATTATTCGTTCGATCTCTCCGCGGAAATCGACGGTTTACGATAATGGAATTGATTTTCTAGCACATACGTGTTATTATAAACTGCGCACATCCCGGGTATTAATAGTAAACCGATATTCTAAAAAAAAAAAAAAGGAAGGGAAGATGTTTCGGTACTATCGCCGATACCCGTTTTCTCGCGGCGGAAACATTACACGGCAACGTTGTATTGTGTTTCCTGGTCTGGGGATTCGATCGCAAATAAATAATATATTATTATTATTATTATTATTGTATTGTTGTGAACTGCTCGACGGCGACAGGGCGGACGTACAATCGGTGCAGTAAACCGTCATTACTGGCACGGCATTATTGCAACTGCTGTCATTAGCACCGAAAACAATTTACAGTTACCGCCGCGCCATTATTGTTATCACCGTCGGCCGAGCCAGTGTAAAACCTCGTCATCAGACACTTGTCGTCCACGGAAACCGTGTCGACGACTCGTGTCTCCGCGCGGACGATAACAGTTTTATTTATTGTTACGCGGACAGGAACGTGAACGAATTAACACGAAAACGTTTGTGACGATTCTGTGACATTTGACTATTATTTATTTTTTTATTTCAATTTCGTGTAGTCCGTGATTAGATATAGCGTATTATAAAACAATTATTAATAATAATAATAGTACGACGGTTTGATATTTGATATTGATAACAATAATAATAATAATAATAATAATAATAATAATAATAATAATAATAATAATAATAATAATATTTATTTATTCATTTTCCAACTATAGTATAACAAATTAAAATACATATATAAATTACCGTGGGATAAAAGGTGCGATAGACAATCGGTTTTCATATTGTAGGACTACGAATATTTTGTTTACTAGTAATGCAATTGTTTTAACACAGAATGTTAAATTTAATAACCTTACGTTACGTATACAAAATTATTACTGCGGGAATTTGTTCCAGATAAAGACGAAGAAAATACAATAAAATAAAACAAATTCTTACTATAAACAATGATGATCTTAACAGTGTAAACATATTCTAAGTCCGTAATTATTTTTACCGCCAGTATAATAATTTTTTAAGCCCAGCTATATAAGTAAATTATTGTCCATTGTCTACAGTCCCGACCTTATACTTTGTATACTGTTAAAATGTTCACAGGTTAGACAAATGATTAAGCCTATTTCCTCCTCTCCCAGAAACATGCGAATAAACACATTCAAATTCAATCTGCAGTTAATAATATTTTTAATGAGGAGGATAAAGTAACCATTTTTTCAACAGAGTAAAGATAATAACATTTTTTTGGGAGGGAAGGATATTTTTACTTTTATCTAAACGATTTTTATTTTTATTCGCTTCTTTAACTCGAGCACCCCGAATCGAGTCTATAATTCCCGTCGAGTTGTGCATTCATTCGACTGCGCCTTTGCACGCCTATTTATTCTCTCGCCTACAACCAAGGCCGTATATCACGGACACGGGGAGGGGATTTAGGGGTCAAATCGCCCTCATCGCCTTTTTACTCTTCGTATCGTAGGCAATTTTGTATGTATAGATTTAAAAACATGAAAATTTGTTGCCACTCATCTCCTCTCCCAACCCATGCAAAATGTATGCGTACGCCGTTGCAACGCATAACCGTGAAGTACATTTACAATAGAATAATGTAATATAATATAATTGTAACGTAACAATTTTAAACGCGGTAGTAAAAAAAAAATACATCAATGTTATGAAATCGTTATTATGGTCGACGTATTTTTATTTCGACGCGATGTGTGGGAAACGCGCGCTCGTTAACCGCGAAATGAACGCCGCATTTAAACATATTTAAATGTCCGCGTAACATAATGAAAACGCGTGTTTTTCTCCCGCGTTCAGTGTCAAAAATCGAAGCGTTTCGTGTTGCGAAATCACACTAAGTACACTGTATGCATCACGTGTCTTTTCGGCCATTTGTCGTAAATGGAACCACGAGAAAATACGAAATGATTTTATTAAACTGCCGTAGGACCGCCGTACGCAGCGCCTACGGTGACCGTAGACGAAATGCACATTAGTGCGACCACGATGACATCCATGCGGGTATTTTTACAATTAACTAACTGTTGACAATATATTGTATACGAGTATAAGGTAATAGGTGCCTAAGTGACTTTCTAATTTGCGACAAATATTTCGAAAATAACCGCCGAATTTTCTTCGTTATATTTAGTTATATCATACAGGGTGATCAACGATGGTGCGACTCATTTGCTATAAAACGTTTTACTTGTATCTCTACGACGATTCGTTTTCGCGCATAGGAAACTGAAATTTTCGAACAGTGTACGAATTTATATTCCAATATATGCGATATCCGAATCGGACATTGTGCGAACGATTTGTTTGTAATTTTTATTTTTTTTTTTGCATTTTTCTTTCACTCGTGGCGGCCTTTCGGCGCTTTTCTCGCGATTTTTAGATTTACATTCAAGAACAATGGTCTTCGGTAGTAGAGTTGACGAGCGAAACCGGCGCGCATAGCCTAGCCAAACCCGGGAACGCAATTTGGGGGAGGTGTAACGGAGAAAATCGCCACATTTCAGCGGACACGGCGACACGTTTTTAATTTTTGAAATAAGTGTTGTGGATGAGCGCTAAGCACAGTATCCCGGCGAGCCAAAAGCTTAAACACACTTCTGAGCCAGCCGTTTCCCCGCTCCCGCTATAATGATATAATTCAACGGGGGGAAAATCGTTGAAATGTAAACGGGCGCAAACGAGTTTTACTCACCGACATTACGCAAGACAATCATTATCTGGCGAAACATTAATATTTTTCAGAATTTGTTTTTTGTTTTTTTTTTTTTATTTATTCATTCATTTAAGAAACAAGCGTCTAATAAAATATGTTACGCTAAGTAGGTACCGTTTTACGTTAGTCGCCGATTTTTCGGGAATAGCGAAAGCGAATAATACCAATTTCGATTTCCAAATAACATCCTATATCGAAAACGCTATGAGCACAGATGCAGTTTTTTATTTAAATAATGGTCGGCGGTGACGTTTTCGGTACCCATCGAGCCTTTGACGACAGATATCCCGCTTTTGAGTTTATCGTTTCGTGTGTATGGGCAGCGAGTGTATAATAACGAAACACGAATATAATTCGAATGCGCTAACCGCGGCGCCACACGAATAATTCAAATGATGTCTGTGCTATTCAGTGCTATGTTGAACACCTTGTATAATAATAGGTAATTTATGAAAAACGTCCCATAATTGCGATATTTTATTAGGGAATTGATTTGCTTACGCAAACGTGTGTGCCAAAGTGACACTAATCGACCTCTCAATAGGTCGACAAAACGAGTCTGCGGTTATTATAATAATCTCGATCGGCGATTGGCAAATACATTTTTTTACCGGTATTCCAGCGAATAAATACCGGAATAATGTTTATTTATTTTTCGTGTTTTCAATAATTTAATCGATTTTGGGTAGATTTCATAAAACAAATTATATTAAGGACAATATACAATGTTAACGGTGCAGTTGACTCAGACCTGTAAAGAAGTACCTATTCGAGTAAATGTATTGAACTACGAAACATATTAGAACACTTTCGAATATGCGCTGTAAAGGTTTTTTTGTATTTGAAATCGAATGGAAATACTTAATAACCGTAACGCTTTCATAATATTATAGATTCTGAGCGATGTCGTTCGCTTTTTTGTGCCTGTTAACAATTTTTATACCCGAAATTTTACTTCAATAAGTTCTAGGATTCATTGCGGTAACGATTTGTATCTATTCGGTGCAATGAAAAGGTCGTTTTTGAATTTATATGTAGTTTTCTTACGGATTTTGAAAAAACCAAGGACAGTGGGAAAATCCGTTTTTCCTAAACGTGTTTTTATATATTGTGTAATTGTAAATATCGTCCGTTAAATATCGACAAAGAAAATGATTAATAATAATTAACAAAAAATAAATAAATAACTTTAGCAAACTTGTGAAAATAAACATAATTCAAAGTAAAAAATGAAAAAATTAGATTTCCCCCAAAAAAAACTACCGACCGTTTAGGAAAATATCTTAGAAGTTTTGCTCCTATCAGAACATGACAAGAGCCTTTTTTTTGTTTAAGATTAAAATTAATTAAACAATTCAAAATAAGATTGTCATTGGCAACCGTTTTTATTTATTTTTTGTTATTATTAATTATTAAGTTTTTATTATTTTAATATTTCAATCATTTTTATACAATCGTTGGCATCGTGAAAATGCACATTGGTTTTAGATTCTGAGTAGAACTAGAAATACATTGGTTTTACAATGATGGTTTTTTTAGTTTTTATGAAAAATACACTTTTTCTACCAGAAAGCATATTCTGATTATCAAGTACGGCACCTTTTCTGAAAATAAATGTTCTCTAGGTGGTACTTAATATTCCAGATAATGAGGAAAACCGGGTTCTTTAGGTTAAAAAAGATTAAAAGGTTAAAAATAAGATTGTCATTGGCAACCGTTTTTATTTATTTTTTTATTATTTTAAATCTTTTTTAAACAATCATTGATGTCATGGAAACGCACATTGCTGAAATCATTTTACTTTAATATGACATATATTGTTGACAAACCAACACTATCAACTGAATTCCGTTCAGAATCGTTTTTTCGTTAGCAATGATTTATCGTATGGCTTACAGATTTACATTTAATTTCTTTCTGTATCCTACCTTTTCAACTTTCCACCTACAAAAGTGGCTGCACCCATGTACAAACACTTAGTACATGGATGCAGCCATCCTTTTTTTTATTATTCCTATTATTTTAGATATTTTATCTTCACTCAAAATTGTTTTCGTTCCTAATGGTTTATCGTAATAACTTTATGTATCCCACATTCCCAACTACCCACCTACAAAAGTGGCAGCACCCGTCTCCAATGTCGTCTCATTTTTTAAATTTTTATTTGAATTTAAATAAACGTGTTTCGTATGTAATAACTTTATAAGTATATTGTATTATCTACTTTCCAATCCAAATATTATTATATCGAGACTCAGTTCTCTACAGTTTTTGATTTTAGAGAGATTATTTTAAGGGAAATTTACACGCTTTGATCGTGTTCCGAAAAGACGTCGAGTTTTCCGACGACGAAGCAAAAAAAAATCCATTGTTAAAATATGAATAAAATATAGTTTCCTGGCTCTCTCTCTCACTCAAATCGAATAATATTAAAAATGGTTTTTTTTTTTTTTTTTTTTTTATGTATATTACAGTATAATGCATTTGGCCGGAACATATCATAATATACGAGTCGAATTTAAAAACGAATTAAAATTTAAATTGGAGGGGTTTTTTTTTTTTTAATGCAAAGGGCTGGTGATAAGATTTTCCAGTTTAATGTTTATATAATTTTTGTGTGCGTTCCACGCGAGCATGCTCGATTATATAATTGTACGTAAAAAAAGCGAGATTTATTTTTTTTTTTCGATGAAACGTTCGTCTAAATATTTCGAATGTATAGTTTATTACGACTAGTGTTGAAAATTATCTTTGTATGCATATTCATTTTCCTTTCGATATTAAAATTTTTTTGAACGAAGTACGATAATTTTTAAATTTTTATTTTAAAATGTTTCTTGTTTAAACATTAAAAATATCGAGAATAAACTAACTGCCAATCAATGTTTTTATCTTTACATTTTATAATAGGCCAATTCGCCGTTCACCGTTTGATTTCGTCCGTATTATTTTTAGAGTGATACAGAGAAATAAGAGAGAATAATAATAACAATAATAAACTGGGCTTAAAATCAATAAAAATAATGATAAATATGTTTGCGTTGGTCATTACGGTTTTTGTGGGTAATCGTGAGTACCTTACCCGGGTTAAATTATTGCAATTTTCGTAGGGATCTCCATTTTTTTTTTTTTTTTTTTAATAAAATAAAGCCCACTGTACTCACTTATAATGTAGCTTTTATTAGGTTAAAGAATTTTTAAAATCGGTTAAGTAGTTTTTGAACTAATCCATAACAAACAAACACACAAACAAATCTTTTCTCTTTATAAAATTAGTTTATATTTCGAATTATTATTTGACCGCGTGAATCGTATTCGCTTGAACGACGTATAAGTCGTCTCCGAGTGAAGGGATCGATTGGAAATACAGAAGGGAAAAGGTGCGCTGCAGGTCACGCGAGCCGGCGTGTGTTTTACTAACGACATAGTAATGTATATTGCAAAACAAGTACGACAGTGAGGCCACCCCGTCATGTACATTCAATGAAATAATCGGAATTTACGTCGAAAAAAAAACTAGTTTTGCGAAAACTGTATAATGCCAGAACTACAGAGTGTCGTTATTTACACTGGAAGTTATGGTCATATTAATATTATTGTGTTTTAATCGGATGTCTTTTCGTCTTTTTAGCGTCACGACCCTTCGAGAGTTTTTAGTGGAGGAATGCAAGTTCCGCTTCTAGCATTTATATACTTTCATTTGCCATTTCACTACAGCTAATTACCCCAGGTCTTGTTTCACCCCGTCCTCTTTTTTAGACGTCCTATGACACCTCTTGCCGGTCGAGGCTCGCCATTTCCAACTTTAGTTTCGCCGTTTCCGATCATCTCTTTGCCGTGTGTCCAAACCATAGCATACACTGTGCCCTCACAAAATCTCTTACCTCCGGTACCTAATCCTGGACCTCCTTATATTTTTACCTACTTCTCCAGCGTTCGTCGTTATAATTATACTAAACCACGAATAACTATCAGTATTTCGCCTTCAAACGCAATAGTTTTTTTCGCGGTTTATTGTTTGTATTTTAGTACGTGAAAATCCAGTTTTTTTTTCCCCCCGATAATGATATTTAAATATACAACCTAATTATTTCTAATATAATAACACCTGTGAATTCTAATTGCAATAACAACTACTCGTATTAATTAATTACGTTATCGCTAAGGAAAATCTAAAATAAATTCCTTGACTGGGAATCACCGAGTCGTTATTGTTACGAAACATTTACACTGTTAAAAAAAAAAATACACACACACACAGTACCAATAATATAACAACACTCAATGTGTAAAATTCAAAGTATCCGTCGGGAAATTGAAAATCGCTAATACATATCAGTTCGGGATCGGTTTTGAAAACTCTATTTAACGAATCGTTTTTGCGATGACAAGAAAATCATTATTAATTTAGTTTGACGACCGAAAATTATTAAAAAAAAAAAAATGCGTAAGATAAAGATCGCACAGTGAAAGTTTATCAAAATATTATGTATAAAAAAAAAAAAAACACCTTTTATTATTATTATTTTTTAATTAACGTTTAATCCTGCGAACAAAAAGAAAAAAAACTACTAATGAAACATAATAATTTATTAAAATTTCGGATGTCTAAAAAAAAAAAAAAAAAATTGATGAATGAAAAATAATTTCGAACGACCGAAAACGTTATTTGTTATAATATTTTGTGACATGGAAGTTTTTATATAGGTAGGTATGTTGTGGATGAAAAAAAAAAATTGATTAAAAGCCGCTCTCGGGTTTTACGGCTACATAAATAATCATCGGACAAACTGAAATTGTAATATTTTACAACGCGGCATTGACCCTTTTAAAACCTAGTCTCGAAATGGTAATCGTGCAGCGAATCACAAATCAGGTTTTTGTACCGCGATATGCATCGCACAATTATATTGCACATAGTACAGCGCTGCAACATATACGGTGGTATTTCTTTTTTCTTTTTATTTTTTTAATAACTGCTTTTACTATAAAGGACACCCACAAATAAATTTCGTTCGACGTCTGCATTCACGTCTGGCTCACGGTTTGCAAAAAAAAAAAATATCAGCACGTGGACGCCCGCAGACAGGCCAGTACGGATGCTGAAAACAGCCCTAAAACCCCAAAAAACTAAAACCTAAGGGAACCATACATCGTGGGTAGCCTTTCCGATCCTAATATGAATGGGTTACAACATACACGGTATATAAAAACAAAACAAAAAACCTCTCGGATATTAATAAGTCGATAGTTAGCATTCAATAGCGCCCAGTGACTACTGAAATCCATCGAATACGCCATGCACGTGGCCAATTCATCCTATTACAGTATTAATTACAATATATTTTTAACCGTTTTAAATCTATTTGATATTTACTTTTCATGGCTTTTCATGAAAATTATCTTTTTTCAGTATGATTTTGAATACGAGATATTTACCAAGCTGTGTACTGGCTACTCCCCCCCCCCTCCGCCAGGCATATAAACAAAACGTATATGGTCTCGTTATTACATGACTAATGGAAGTTTTCCATCTCCCCTCTGGTTTATCTAAACCCGCTTTTCATCGACTAGGTTTGCACATAGAGTATAACTCCCTATCAGATTCGAGCCGACATAAAATGTTTCCATTTCATATTATTTTTTTAAATGAATTTGTAATCGTTATTTTATTAACATTTCTTTGACGAAAATCCATATTAAAAGGGCGGTAAATCACCCATTTTGTATCGACCAACTTAATTGGTTTACTTCATGTTTAATACCGATACCGTGTACGTTTGGTACATAATTCTTCGGGCTTTGCTGCAGTATCCATAGCTAGTTTAGTGAAATTTCGGTACGCTTTCGTCAGAATATATTATATGAAATCGCCAACGACTTTCGGAAATTTGCGCTACGGAAAAAAAATTCCAATATTTCGCCAAACAAATATAAGCGATGACTGACGATAGCGGAACACCGCTGCAGTCGCGATAACATTTTAGAGAAGTAATTTTCGATTTTCCGGTTCGACAACCACGCGAACGTACGCGTTGCGCAAAAAAAAAAAAAAACAATTGCAGACTACTGGCGTATGAGAATAATAATGTAAGGGGTCGTATTATAATAGTATATAAATTCCGAGGAGCTCGACTGAAAATCTTTTCTCTAGTTTCGAAAATTGTCGTTTCGGAATTTAAAATAATAATGCATATCGCGTGTATCTCGTGTAATCGAGACGAACCGACCGTAAACTCACTGAAGATTTCTCGACAACGCCGATTAATTAAATCGACCCGATGACTTATATCGTGTCAAATTGTAAACTACAATTTTTCAACGAAAATGTATTATAATTCATTAATATTGTCAACATGTTTTATATTTTATGTATATATATATACATTTTATTAAAAAATTCCAATCGAAAAAAAAGTCGTATAACTTGTAAACGTCAAACAACCGCCGCCGTCAGCAGCAGAACTGCGTCACTATAGAGTCGAATTTTCAATCTCTTAACCCGCCTGTTTTCCATAATAGGAAAATGTTTTTTTTAAAACAATAAATAACCGAATACTCTGTTGTGTATTTCTCAATAAATTGATAGGTACTCGCACCTAAAAAGGGTTAAATATACCGCGAACAGTGCGCATTGCCTATTGTATAATACCCACATATTTCCTCGATGTATATGTATCAACGTAAATAACTTTTTACTGGCATACTTTTGAAATTTTATATCTGTGAACAACTTTTCTACCAGAAATTTTGCTCCGATATTCAAGTATAGAACTTTTTCTGAAAGGAACTCTGACTGGAGTTGTACTTAAGGTGGTTATTTTTCGATTTTCTCAAAATTTTTCCCAAAAAATGGGAAAAACCGGGGAACGACGTAGGAAAAACGGGAAAATTTACAAAATGTATTATTTTCAAATCGTAAATTTCAATACATGTATTGATGTAAAAGATAATCGTCTAATTATGAATTTATTAAAACAAATTAAAACCAAACTTACGATTTCGGAAATAGTCAATAAAACCACAATGTAGATTAACCTGTGTAAACGTAAATGATCAATTTGAAAGTGAGTCGTTATCTGACCGCATAGGGTTCAGCGTGATATCCACTATGAAGGTTTTAAACTTTTCAAACTTGGCTACCAGTCTGCAGTCTTTTGGGACATAAAATAATAATTGTTTTTTTTTTTTTTTTACGATTTTATGACGATGATAAATACAATTTAGCGTACACCTATAATTTACAAATTTTAAGTAAGCGTATAATCATAACAGATTAATTTTTTTTAAAGTTATAGACATAAATTCAAAAATCGATATCCGAGTATGCGTCGTATACACCATTGTGAATACTCGAATAATTATTAATAATGCAATACTATATTGCTTCCAGAAAAACAATATAATTTTAATTTATTAACAGTAAAGGTGGAGGAGGTTGATATTCGTCAGGACCTTCGACCATTTTCATTCACTGGTTCGTAAAAGAGCGATAACGAAAAAATAACTTTCAATTGACTTTGCATACTATTGTCGCGTACTCAATTTTCGATACACTCTCAATATATTATGCAAAACCACAGTTCAGAGGTTAGGTTAGAGAGCCAAAATGTTTTCATTTTTTCCTTAGATTTTTGTTTTTCTCCCGCCACGGAAGAAAAACAGCCAGAGGCCTTTAATATATTCCTACTGAGCAAAAAATAAATCCCCGTTACTTTTTGTCGTTTTCTATTTGTGTGGAAGCCATTGAGTTTTACTTATTTTTAAATTACTTTTTTCTCTCAAAATTCAGCGATCCGACATTAATATATTATTATTTTAATACCGGTTACTATGCTAATTGAAAAGAAATCTCATTAACCTTCCGGGAAATTATTTACTCGGTTCTGGTCATAATAAACCATGATGGTCATGTGAAGGTGTTATTTTACTGGAGGCGGTCTGAACTTAGAGCCCTGCAGATAATGTCTTAATCTGTTTTCGTTGTCGTCGTTTACAACCAATATTGTTTTTACGTACGAAAAATATCGTAGAAAATACACTCACTTATACTTAATCTTTGGGACACCAACTAATTATTTAGGGTTGCCAACAATATAAAATAATGGGTCACCGTGTATAAAACATTTGTTTAGGGATAGTTAAAAAAATGAATATTAATTTAGTAGTCGCGGCTGTAAAAAGGTTGAAAAACACTGATCTAAAACATATCGTTCAAATAAATTGTTTTCATTAAAATTACCCAGTATAGTTGCGTTCTATATTTGATTAATTTTGTTCGTGCATCAAGAACGAAGTTAAAAATCATAATTGCGTTAAATTTATCGGAATCCATAATCCACATTCAATTCGTTAAACCAGATTAAATTTATTAATTTTTCCAACTCGTTAAAACGGATTAAATGGATATAATAATCCAATTAGTTTTTTTAATCTAGGCTGCAAATCGATTACATTTTTACGACTAGAACGTTTAATTCGGATCAATCCGGTTCAGTCTGAAATACCGATTGATCTGAATTGACTAAGATAGTATCATTTCGTATAACCCTGATTAATATGAACGTTCAGATTATTTTTAAAAAGTACAATTCGTTAAAAATGTAAATTAATGAATTGAAACGTTGGAAGTTCGATGATAACAAGCTGAGAGGTTTTCACATAAGGATTATAAGTCACCTATTCGATTATTAACGTATTATATTATGATTTATAAATATAATTATATTTTATTTGTGTGAGTCATTTTATTAATTACCTATCTTGTATAAAAAGTGATCCATTTAAATGGGTACATCCGTTATCTTGAAAAGTGATAACTTTTTTCAGAATTTGTTTTCTAGAACATTGAAGAAATAAGCAGCTCTACAATTTTATATCTATGTTATATTTGTCACCCTTATTTTCGGGGGTAAAATCACTACCTACTTTTGATTTTCAAATGGCGACCTTTTGCTTTTCCTTAAATTTTTTTTTTTTTTTAATATTTAAGGAACAAATAGTTCTGAAATGTTACATTGAACTTTGTTTTTGTCACCCTTATGTTTTTGGGCAAAAACTGCTACCATATTTTAGGTTTTATGGGTAGAATAAATCAGCGTACTTCGCCACAGCAAAAATAATGTTTCACTACTCTCTCTTTACTCACAGAACTCGTCAACGGTTTAACGGAAATTAAAAATGTTAACACCAACTGTATTTAAATTAAAACTTCATATATTTATGGAATATTTTTTAATAAAGTTTGCTAATCGATAATCAAAATGTCATAGTGGTTTCAGCCCCTAACATAGAGGTGACGAAAAATAACGTAACATTTTAGAGCCGTTCGTTTCTTAATTTTTTCAAATAAAAAAATTCCGAAAAAAAAAAAACCTAAGTCTTACATTATATTGATCGCCCTACATTATAATAGTCACACGAGGTTGTTGAACATGATTTGTAATGTTACTCGAATTTCGATATCAATATTTTACCACCCGAATTCCCAGCGGATCTTTAATAGCAATATTCAGCCCCGGAGAAAAACCTTAACATTGACAAATCGTTTATGTTTTTTTTTTGTTTTTTTTTTGCAGCTGCTCCTGTATACCAAATTTTTTATACGGCCGGCAGTTACTCGATGGCCACATCGACGTCGTTCGCGCAAATATGGTCGGGCGTGCAGGTCGAGTACGACGAGAACGGCAAACACGCCGGCGTTCCCCAGCCGGCCGCCTCCGTCGCACCCCGGGGCCCGCCCAAGCACAAGACATCGCCCGGATACCGTAAATATCAAATCGTGTGGCGAAACGTCATAGCGTTCATCTTGTTGCACGCGATGACCATTTACGGGCTTTACATATCGATCGCCGGATACGTTCAGATCAAAACGTTACTGTTCAGTAAGTACTTTATACATGCATTTTCCGATAAACCGTAAAAACGACAACGTAAAAGTCCTATACTAACCGCTGCCGTTTCGGCGTACATACAGAGCCGTGTTGAGCCATCAGTGGCCCAAGAGCATTCATTTTTCAACGCCTCTTTTTTAAGTTCCTACCTGAGAACGATTTTATAACATCGACATTAACATTTCAACCTTTCGCCTCTACCAAATCAAATTCTTCCTTACACCTGAATTCTTTTCTAGGTACACATATTACGTTCTAGGTATTACTGTTTTTTTATCTTACCGGTAATTCATTTAGAAAACATTATGAATTAACCAATATTACTAATCCATTTTATCGATTCTAATAACTTTTTGTTAGAAAACTGATTATTGAATTTGACCATACATTATATAATAATATAATTAATGTTATGATTGTTGTAAACAAGATTTCAGAAGTAATCGTTAAATTTCCATCAATTTTGATGGGAATCAATTTTTTTTTATAATTATAACTATTTAACTATAATAACAAGGTGGTGGGATGGAACTAGAAAAAAATTTTTCAAATGATTCATATTTACTCAATAATTAATTATTTCTTAATCATTTACAGAAATATTATACTATTTAACCGTAAAACAAAAGAGCCGATAGCTACTGCTGATAGATGTTCCACTGTTATAGGTGGTAAATTAGGAGGGTAAAATACATAAAGTGAATAAATTTAAATTTTTAAGCAACTAAAAACCATTTCCAACAAAATACGATTCTGAACAATTTTCAGTTATGAATGTTTTGAAATGCCGTAATATTACCATTTTCGTCAACATTTGATATTAAAATACTTATAAAAAAAGATACTACATTACGCTAAACTTTATTTTATTTTATAACAACTTGTGTTAAATTTTTAAGTATTTCAGTCAAGTTAAACAATTTTATCTGCATAATATACCTACTAAATAAACATTAAACAATTAATTTTACCCCGGTTTTGCTCAATTACACAGAAAGTACATTGAAAATCAAAAAAAAAAAATAAACGCTTTCTTCCTCTTCAACTATAAATCCAAAATACAATGAAAAATGTTTCTTAGCGGTTTTTTTTATATCGGAGTAATATTTCTGTTAGAAAAATTATTGACACATAGAAAAATAAAAAGAAAAAAATTATACATGGTAGTAAACCCAAAACACTCCTCACTCCGTTCAGAATCTAAAAATATAACGACGAGTGAATCACAATATTTATTTTTCGTGATAGTAATAATAATAATTTAAAAAAAAAAAAAGAAAACACTCAAAATCTAAAATAATAGACGACGTGAACGTATGGCGACGAAAATTAATTACGATCGACCTACTCGACGGTGATGGTAAAGCGAAACCGATAACGTTTTATTACTAACTCGTTCGAACTATATTTTATGTTTAACACTAATGATAATAAAAATGATAAAAATATTAGATTATCAAAGGAAAATAAAACCGGGAATTGCGTTTACCTAACAATTCGTTGGGTAAATACTATATACAAACACTGCCATTCAACGCGTGTCCAACTTGTTTTTTTAAGTGATTTTCTGTCAATAGAATTTTTAGATACGATTCAGAGTGCACTATAATAATAATAATGAACAGGTAATATATTATAGTAAGGTTCTTATTGTATAGTTTTTTTGCATTTTAAATGTCATATTATGCGGGAGGGGGATGATGTTTAAAATTTGTCTTTAAAAATATCATCGGGCGTACGTTTTCCTTTTGGTTCTACACAATATACCGTTTTAGGGCCTCAGAAAAAATCTAAATTCAATTCATTTAATTTCAACGGCAAAGGCTGATACAATGAACGCACAAATATAATACTTTTATCAGCCTGCAGCCACCTTTAAAACTTAACAAATTGATTTCAAATTTTTCCCGAGGCTCTTAAACAGTACGACGTAGAACAGAGTATCAACAAAATAACCCAAGAATATTTTTAAAAATGAGTTTTAAACAATACACATATGTTTGAAAAAATTCCTGTTTCTGTTTTTAAACCTGAAAATCGATTATTTGTTTAGTCAGTTTAAAAGCAATTGTCATATAGGCAATATAGACATAATGATGTGTCTCTGGGTAAATACCCAAAGGGTAGATCAATATTTTGAGTCTTTAATCATTACTCGCCCAAACTTTGGGTTAGTATACTTTTCATTTATTTTTTTTTTTTTTTTTTTTTTTTTTTTTGGAAATCTACGTCCAATCAAAATAAAACTGTGATTATTAATAAAATGATAAGTAATGATTTTACAAAAAATTAAAAAATCAGTAATGTTTTAAATTTGTTAATTTGTAATGTTTAAACGGAAAAGTAAACGCCGATTGTTATGTTTTAATTTTAAACGACTAAACGAAAGTGTTTGGTGTGTCGAAAGAAATGTGACGGCTGAATGTTCAAAAGTTCATGCGTCAAGTATAAGTGCATCTGTTAACGTAAGAGAATAAACGACAACAGCAATAAGCGTCCATATGAAATGCGTGCGTGTTGTGCGTGTGTATTGAATTAAAAATAAATTCCCGGGTAAATCAAAGCCAATGTGAAGAACGCGCGAAATAATCCAAAGTCGGAATATTTCGAAATCTGCGTAATAGATGACATCGTATTATTAATGAAAAACAGGCCGTCGAACACAGGAAGCCGCCGTAAAAAATATGCGGCATTCGTCAAACTCGAGATTAAAATAATAACATTGGGATATTGTTAATTTGAACGCGTTATTTTTATACCGGAGTTTACGGTTTATAAAACAACAATATTATAATGTGTATGATGTCGTATTGCGCGTGTTTTGCCTATCGTTTTGTTTCCGCTGGCGTACTCAGTAAGCACACATAGTGTACAATCATATATTAAAAACTAAACGTGTATTTGGTTTTGGCACGATTGGTGTACACCGTGACTTGCTAATTTTATTTTTTAACGTGTTCCGACGGCGTTATAGAATCGCCCGTACAATAATAATTGTTACGAATAAAATTACATACAATAAGCGGCGCGACGCCGAAAATATTATACGTGGTCCTTGTCGATTTTCGCCCGAATCTTATCGGGCGATCGCCGATTCTGGAGTACTTGGGTCCAATGTATCATTATTGTTATTATTATCATTATGTTCGATCCGATTTTGCGTGTTTGAATACGAACGCCGACATCGCTCGCTACCAGACCCGCGCGTGGCCCGAAATTGCCTATGCGAAACCCCGCATATTGTACGAACCGCCGTCTGTTTTTGGTATAATAAATAATAATATACTGCTAAAAAAAAAAAAAAAGGAAAAAAAACGTTCGAAATATCACCCACGCGAAATTATCGGCGCGTACAATTATTAACAGTCAACATTCAAACGTTCTAAAACGCGTTTCTTTGTTCATTTTAGACTTCTTTCAAAATATATTTAACATCATTTTTGACATGAATCAAATTTTAAATTCTGAACCGCTGGGGTGCGTAGATAACAGCGCGACATTTTTTCGGAACATTATTTTCTGCTTAATGATGCGCCGCTAAGTTCGCAAGAGTCGAAATGTTGTCTGGTTGTACAAATTTCCATTGTGTTCTTCGAAAAATATATTTTAAACGGAATTCGAATATCTAGTAAATAACTAAACAAAAGTACCTATTATTAATACTGTTTGAGTCTATTCGAAATCTAGGACCATCTCATTTCATAAATAATACTCCGGCAAATAGCTACATAGCTGTAGTATATAATTTAGCGTCACATGCTCTCGTCACACATCTCCAACGGATGGAGTCGTTTTTTTTTCGTTGACCCATAATTATATTTAAAATTATTATTGAGCACCATATGGCCTTTTCGTTTACATTCTAAGAACTCAATAAAAAAAAAAAAAAAAAACAAAAACGAAAACAAAACGTACGAACTAATTTTACAAAAAAATGTAAAAACGAAACTCGTATCAATTGCAACAGATGACTAAACTCTAGTATATTATTATTTCGTACGAACGAAATGACGATAACAATAAATGCATATTATATAGTTATACGTAATCGAGGATATTATCAATATTGTTACGACGTACATACCAAAACCCGACTGAAAATAAGGGAATGCACCATTATCCCTGTTATAAGTTTATAAGTTTATAATAACTTTCTGAGTAATGCTAAATGGCTTAACTAAAATATTTTGTGTACATACAGTGAAAAAAAATAAAAATAAATACGTAATTAGTAATGGGAATAATTTTGATAAATGGTTCCTAAAATGTTGAACGTAAAACAACGGGCGAAAAGAGAAAACGAATTTATCATTTTTGGGCAAACAGAGAACGTGAGCGAAAAAAAAAGGGTCGTTTTTGGACGAAAACGGACCCGCCCCTAGAGTACCATCCAGATGAGATTTTCTTTCAGAAAAGGCACTAAAGTTGAAAATCGGAGCAAGATTTTTGGTAAAAAATTTGTTCACAGATGGAAAAAATAAAAATGAACTTCATTGTAAAACAAATACATTCCTGGGCTATGCACCGAATCAACCAAAATGTATAGACAAATAATCGTCAAACTACAAAATATAGATGGAACTGCAATAATCATTCCAGGACAAACTAACGGAGGCGTATTTCGATAAACAGCGATAAAATTTTGTTTAATATTTTATTTTTGCATTAATGGAATTGGATACCCGTATTCATAAACTATTTTCTTTCCGTTGCAGTGTTAGCCGTCGGGTCTTGCAGTGCTCTGGGCATAACGGTCGGCGCTCACCGGCTGTGGGCTCACCGGTGCTACAACGCCCGTTTGCCGATGCGCATTCTATTGACGCTGTTCCAGACGCTGGCCTTCCAGAATCACATATACGAATGGGTCCGCGATCACCGGGTCCACCACAAGTTCACCGACACGGACGCCGACCCGCACAACTCGTCCCGTGGCTTCTTCTTCTCGCACATGGGTTGGCTGATGGTCCGAAAACATCCGGACGTCACGACCAAGGGCCGCACGGTCGACATGAAAGACCTGGAGGCCGATCCGGTCGTCATGTGGCAGAAAAAGTGAGCAGTTTTCTCCTATCCGGTTTCGATTTGTTCATGTATACATTGAATGTTCTTTTTTTTTACTTCGGCCCTGAGGACTGTAACGATATATGTAATACAAAACCTGTCATCCGTTCGCTCCTGTTTTTTCCATTGAGTTTCCGAATCCACTGTCTACAATTACCTTCTTGACGCGATCTCCTCATTTCTAAAGGCCTTCTTCGTGGATAAAGTACTTCACAGTTAACTAAACATTTCAGTTTACAACGAGAAGTCTTTCTTTATGACGATTTCGCAAATTACGAATAATATATTTTGCCTTTAGAACTGAATTTGAGGTTCATCATTGTGATGAAATTTCCTTTATTCGTTGACTAGGACATCAAAGATTGAGTCTATTAATCGTTTAACTGTTAAGAACAGTGGTTCTCAACCGGTATGTCACGTATTACCGTGGTGTACGCCACCAAAAAAAAAAAAAAAAAAAGTGTTTTTGATATTTGATTTTAATTTGTATTGAATATTATCGAGTCTAAGAACTTAACCGCTTAACCTACACGAAAGAAGAAGAAGTGTTTGGCTATTTTTATATATCTAATTTAGGGTGTTATTGTAAAAAAAAAAAGGTTAAGGACCACTGATTTAGAATGATTCGTTGTATAGTTTTCTCACAGTTTGTATGATTTTCAAGTATAATAATAACGAAAGCTAGGCATTTTTTCGTATGGTAAAACATTAATATCGGCAAAAAGTCGTTTTTGAATCAATTTTTAATCATCTCGCCCCTGCTACGTATATTTAAAATACTCGTATAATTCAGACAGCTTTTCGTTTATTCACACGTTATTTTTTTTTTTTTTTTGCTAATTGAATAAAACACCGTTTATGTAATATTATCACGAGTTTTTAAATTATTCAAACGATAATATTTCACATTTAATTACTCTCTCTATCCTTCTGGTTTAACAACGCAGTGTTAAATACGCCTTTGTGTTACCATCGCACGGCAATAGAAACACCTGCGACTGTATAGCTCCGGTGTAAACCGCGGTGACGGTGGCGATCGTTACATTTAATTTATTGTCGGTATACGACCGAAATAAAACCATCCGATGGCGTTGTAGTATTTACTACAAAACATACGAATTATTTTATTATTTTCCCATCCGAAATAAAATCGCCACGAATTCGGCTTCCGTTCGAAATTGCCAATAAACTACGGACGTCGTCGTCGTCGTCGTCGTGTTTCCCGTTACCTATATTATAAAAGGGGGAACCTAATAGTACCTAGCTACCTATATAGTACCAATAAATTATATTATAAAAGAAGAAAATAAATACGATCATAGGCAATTTTAACACGCGAAACTGATCAATAACATGATATTATGTAGTATAATATAACCCCGCAAAACCGCTCGGGTGTATTACCAGACGTAGGTGCCTAGGTGTCTACGCCGGGCACTTGAATTATTTCAGCCGATTCGAAACGCGTGTCCCGCTGTTTTTGACCTAATGAAAAATAAATATTGTATTATATTATAATATGTAATGTATGTAATAACACGCAATAGCCCGTTGCGCAACGTTTGTGCGAAATATCCGGTTTCGATTCGATTCGCTGCGGTGGTACCACTAAGTCTATGACTTTGCGGATTCGATAACCACGTGCTTGATATTAAAAAAAAAAAAAAAATAACGATAATAAAACTCATCACCAGCGGCGCCCAATCCATATGTCGGACTTAGGTAGTAGACGGGTATAAATTAATGTTTATTGCCACGCGTACAAAAAATTTATTAGACGCCACTGCTTATCACAACCGTCAAATCGTTCATCGCGTAATATTATCGCCTACCTAATAATTTAATAAATAAACTTCAAACCGTTTCGACGCATGAATGTGCAATACAAATAATTACTTTTTTTCGACAACAACGCCCATTTTTAATATCAGATTCAAATAGTTCTGTTGTTTGAAAGCAACTTTGGTCAATACAATTTTTTCCTCCGTTATTTCCCGAAATTTCCCGAGATATACGGCCATCTAATTTGTAATGATAAGTATGATTTTTCAAACAAATTAAAACGTTTGATAGTAAGTATATGTAATTTCGTGGTTATTTTTACCAATAATTTGATTTTTCTCCCGTAAAGAAAAAGTCGAATTTCTTCACTTCTGCGTTTGTTGATGAATCATATCTTTATGATCACGCCGTACGTAAACGCCTGGCAATTATAACTGAAATCTGAGTGTACTTACATAGCAGCACAACAGTAAATGATAAAATATAGTAGATATTGATAGGAGAAGAAATGTGTAAATCGAATTCACCTGGTAGAATGAATTTCGATTGAAACGTCTGTGAACATATGACTCGTAAGTAAAATGAAATGATAGTAGGTATATTTGATCGTATAGCGATAATAACTATCACTCTCGCAGTTTTAAAATAGTAACCGTCAACTATCGTGCGTGCATTATAGTGTGATTGTAACGTTCGTGACTGTGCGACGGTTACTACCGTCCTGTTGACAACAATAACTAAAATAACTCTCACGGTTGTGAAGTTCTCAATGAATTCTTACGATACTGTTATATTTTTATATTCAAAGCCTGGACGTCGAGAAAATGGATTTTTACCCGAATCGCATGTTTGTCTACACATACATAGTATATTTTGTTTGATAATTTTCAGATATTATTTATGGTTGGTGCCAATAGTTACATTTCTGATGCCGTCTTTGATACCGTACTGGTCATGGAACGAACGGTTTTGGTATTCGTTTTTCACGGTCGGTGTCACTCGTTACATGTTATCGTTACACGCCACGTGGTTGGTCAACAGTGCCGCTCACATTTGGGGCACGAAACCATACGACAAGTAAGAACAATTTGGTAGAGCAATACTATTAGGACTCGTTTCCTTATTTTGGGATGACGTTAACAGCTGTTACTTTCTTTAAAATCGTTAAAAATTGTTATCTTAGGTCGGTAAAAACCAAGAAAATTAAAATTGCCAACAATGAAAGTTTTGTCACAATAACGTTATCGTGAGAAATAACCATAAATGTACAAAGTTATATTTTTTCGAACGTCCGAAGAGTATTTTAGGGGGCTGAGTTTATTTTTTCTTTTTTTCATTGACTGAATTCTAAGTAAATAAAGGGTGAATTAGAAATTGAAAAAATAATTTAGGATGTGGGTTTAATTCCTTCCAATGGTTCGCTCCGATTTCTTCTAATAATCTCCTGACGCTGTCCTATTATTTTATCAGTCAACGTTCAATTCAACATGCTTCAACCAGCCCCTAGCCTGCCCGTTTTATCCTTGTCTCTCTGATGAATTGAACGACACATTCTCTAGTTTTTTTTTTTTTTTATAGTTGGTACGATTGGGTTCTCATTAGTTCTCATTTTCCGTTCGTATTCCCCGTTATTGAACGCGGGCTTATATACCTATTTCGCTAAGAACAGAATACCTAAAATAATGATTACACCGCTGTCTTTAACCCGCGCGCACTCTGGCCGTGTCCGCAGAAACATCACGCCCACGGAGAACCCGACGGTAGCGCTGCTGGCGTTCGGCGAGGGATGGCACAACTACCATCACGCGTTCCCGTGGGACTACAAGGCGGCCGAGCTGGGAAACTACCGAATGAACTTCAGCACGGCGTTCATAGACGTATGCGCCCGACTCGGGCTGGCGTACAATCTAAAGACCGCGAACGCGAGCATGGTGAAGAAACGGTCGTTGAGGACCGGAGACTCGTCGTCCGGGGACCGGGGACACCACCGCCATCCGGAAGTCTGGGGATGGGGTGACGAGGACATGGTCGAAGAAGACAAACGGATCGTACAAGTGTCAGAATGATATGATGTCATATCTAAAGACAGTATTATTATTATTATTATTATTATCGTAACTTATTATTCTCCGCGGTTTACAACACTTGCGTAATACCTACTCGTAGAATTATTGTCGTCCGAAACGCGTAGTAATTATAGTTTTCTCAATCCACGACGACGACACCGACGACCAACACCGTCGCTCCCGCGAGTCCCGACATCGATATTGTACCTTTCTAGTTCTTAGATTATTATTTTAATTGTATTACTATTATTATTATTATTATTATTATAATTATTCTTTTTTTTTTTTTTTTTTATATATTGTCAGTCTCTCAAATCCATTTATATATAGCTACATATTTTATCATTTTTTTGTTTTTTTTTTTTTTTCGTTCTCATTTATTTATAAATCGCGTTAATTGGAATTTTGTCTACACGCATAATATTATGTTTGATAATATTATCATTGACATCATCAGCCACGAACTGGAATATTATACGATTATTACGGCAGTGGTTGTGTCGTTAAAACGATTTCGGGCGAATTTTTATATTTTTTTTTTTTCCAATTTCCCCCGAAAATAGAGCCTATTCCTCAATTGTATGTTGTATAAATATGAGATGATCCATATAAGAATGTGCACTCATTATCTCGTATAGCGCTAACTTCTTTTGGAATTCGTTTTCTCGAACATTTAAGAAACAAACAGCTCTACAATTTTATATGTATGTTATTATTCGTCACCCATATTTTTAAGAGTCAATCCACTGTCTACTTATGATTTTCAAATGGCAATTTACATTGAAAATTCCATAAATAGATAGATTATGAAAAATACATTTGAGTGTTAGAATTGTTGATTTCCGTCAATCCGTTAACGGGTTATTCTACTTGTGAGTTTGGGTTTGAGGAGAGCAGTGGAGTATCATTTGTGTGGCGGCACGGCGCGCAGCGTGTTAATAATGCACCACTATTCTCCTTCATCCTAAACTTAAAAGTGGAATATCTCGTCAACGGCTCGACAGGAGACAAAAATTCAACACTCAAAATTATTTTAACTAATACTCCATCCATTTATGGACTTTCTTATATAGGTTACCCCCAAAAATAAGAGTGACAAAAAAATAACAAAATTATTAAATTGCAGAGCTGCTTGTTTCTTAAATGTTTTATACAACAAATTACGAAAAAAGTTGATACTCTCCGTGATAACGAGTGTACCCAATTAAATGGATCACCCCGTATAGTAGGTACACTATAGCTGTCCCGCTTCAATGTATCTATTCCTGCCTCTGTCCGTGTACACAGATAAAAACGTATAATCCCTGTATCACTCCGGGACTCCGCGTCTCCACTTGTTCCTGTGCGATAATTTATACTGTTCATTTTTTACCCGCCACTATATGAACTCTATCTGGACTAAATGAGTTCAAGCTCGAGAACTAAAGTTGTTTACAAGTGAGTTGTAGACTGTAGTGATAAAATTTAGCTTTGAATTTGAATTACAATATGATTTTAATCGTGTTATAGTAGAAGAAAAGAGTTTTATAAGCTCAAATATTAGCAGCATCCTATTCATATAGAGTGCAGATAAATTATTTTGAGTTAAAAGAGTAAATAACATAATTATTTGCACGTAATATTATGTACGTAAATTATATAGTTTGTTTTTAAAAATTTAAAAATTTAATTTATTTTTTTAAATTTTGGTAATTGAAGTTTGAGAGTCAAATCGAATTGAATTTAAATACATGATTAGTTTACCGTAAAATTGTAAAGTTAACACATTTTAAATATGATGAAGACAAAAATGACTAAAAAGTTAATTAAATATTTTCAATTGTCTAGTAACACTTGTAAAAAAACACAAACTTAATTTTTACTGTTTTAATACTCGAAAAACGTTAGATTTCATACGGTGCTTGAATTATAAAAATAAAAGTAATGGTACATATGAGGCTTAAAATAAAGTAGCGTCCCTTATAATGATGTACTCAACCTAATTCAAACCATTAAGTAAAAAATATGGACAACTTTGCACGATAGGTGAACAACTGTTGTAGGCATGAGAAATCGGGAAGATAGAATATAGAGAGAAAATTAATGTATATCAGTACGCGATGATTAATCTTTGCTAAAAAAAAAAAAAAAAATTCGAGAGAAGTTTGGTTATACATGTTTTGAAAGGCCGCAATATTTACGGTTTAAAAACAATACATTTTATAAACTGTCCCGGTTTTTTCCATTTATAATGAAAAGCCCTGGGAACCACCTAAACAAAATTTCCTTTCAGAAAAAGTGTTACACTTGAAAATCGGAAGAAAATTTCTGGTAGAAAAGTTGTTCACAGAAAAAAAACATCATTATAAAACCAATACGATTCGCTGCGTTAAGAAACTAAAACTAGAAATGTTAAGCCCAAATATTTTATGAAAATAAAAGGTATTCCATCCCTCCGAGTCCCCCACACTCAATTCAAGCATTGATTTTATATGATCGGTAACAGTACTATCCTATTTAATCGTATTATTATAAGGACAGACAGACGGATAGTTCTTTCTCCCTATCATCCGTATCAGGTAATTCATTTAAGTGGGTGAACTCATAATCTCGTAAAGTATTAACATTTTCCGGAATTTGTTTTCTAAAACATTTAATAGTTAATAAAGCACCACTACTCTTCTCCAACCGAAAATTAAAAGTGGTGTATCTCGTCAACGGCTCGACAGAAATCAAAAATTTTACCCACTTAAACGAATCACCTGTTATTGATGATTAATATTTGAAAAACAATTTCCGGCGACCACGCCGATCTAGGGAGTCACTGCGGCTATTGGTACACCATCGCAATATTACACATTTAGTAATAGTTTAATTTGATTAGGCATAATTATTAAAAACGCAACAATTGAAAATCATGTATGGTTACATTTACAATACTTATATTATCCACAAAAAAACATTTCGATCTTTTGATCTAAAACTGCCCGAGGTTTAAGGTATTAAGGTTATTTAGGTTGGTAAGAAAATAATTTTTTAATTGAAATTTTAATTTGTTCTTTTTTTTTTTGTAGTTCAATTGAAAATATTCGTAAAGAATTTCAATTTTGACAGATAACTTACATTTGCCTGTTCTAGACGTACATAACATTTAAGTGCTTTGTACAAGGCTAGGCAAAAGTTAGTGATATTTTTTATTAAAGATAAATTAAAATAAATTAAGGTAAGTTAAATTAAATATATTTTGTATACTCTTTTATATACACTCTGTTTGTTCTTTTTACTGATAATAATCAGTACTGATCATTAATGTTGTCAATTCATTGTCTTATGTATAAAATTATCGTGTCACAATGTTCGTTCCCATACTCCTCCGAGACGGCTTGATCGATTCTCATGAAATTATATATGCATATTCAGTAGGTCTGAGAATCGGCTACTATC